CATCAGATCGGAGGCTAGGAATCCCACAATCAGCAACTCCCCTCCTGACTCCCCAAAGCCTGTCCCACCATCAACAAGGCACAAGTCAGGAGTGTGATGGAATACCCCCCCCACTTGCCCCTGGATGGGGTACAGCCCCAACAACACACAAGAAGCTCAACATCATCCAGGATAAAGCAGCCCCCGCTTGATTGGCACCACATCCACAAACATCCCACTCCCTCCACCACCGACGCTCAGTAGCAGCAGTGTGTACCATCTACAAGATGCACAGCAGAAATTTACCAAAGATCCTCAGGCAGCACCTTCCAAACCCACGACCACTTCCATCTAGAAGGACAAGGGGCAGCAGATACATGGGAACACCACCCAGTACAAGCTCCCCTCCAAAAATCCTCACCATCCTGACTTGGAAAAATATCACCATTCCTTCGGTGTCACTGGGTCAAAATTCTAGAACTTTCTCCCTGGCCATGCTGTGGGTCCCTACATCAGGAACATCGGAATTCGAAGTGGGAGTAGCCAATCCAGCCATTTAACATGATCATGGCTGATCCTATCCTGGTCTCAATTCCACTCTCCTGCCTGCTCCCCATAGCCCTTTGTCCCATTTTTCATCAGAAACATATTTATTTCTTTCTGGAATCTGTATGATCGATTTTGCCACAGAATAACTGCCCTCAGAAGCAGTTTCTCCTCATCTCAGTTTTGAGCCAACCTCCTCTCACTTTGTATCTATGACCTCTTGTTTGAGGCTGTCCCACAAGGGGAAACATCTGTTCAATGTCTACCTTATCAGTCCCATTTAGCATTTTATGCACTTCAGTCAGAACCGCTCCCCCCACCCTCTCATTCTCCAGCGAGTACAAGCCCAAGCCATTCAACTGCTCCTTGTGCAACAGCCCTTTCATCCCTGCAATCAACCTGGTGAACCTCCTGAGCTGCATCCAGTGCCACCCAATCTTTCCTCAAATTTGGACACCATACTCCAGGTATGGTCTCACCAACACCTTCCATAATTGTAACACTCGTTTCCTTTTTAATCTAGTCCTTTTGCAATACACGCCAGGGTTCCATCTGCCTTTCCTATTATCAGAAGATAGCTCACCACTCTCTCCAGCGCAATTAAGAATGGCTCCAGCCAGCAGCACCCATTTCCCGTGAATGAGTAAAGAAAGTAAGCTCCTGCTACGCCTCCAGCAAGTCCAAAAACCTGCACGTTCACAGTGATTTCAGGGCAAAATGAGGCTAGTTTCAATTTCCAAAGCCGAGAGCCTGATCACCACTGTAACAGCACTAGAGCAAGGCAAGAGCAGAGACTGACCAAAGCTGCAGCAAGGGATATCACAACAAGTGGCCAAGTTTCAGACATACTCAGATGGTGATAAAACACTCAGCAGCAGCACCTACAAACGAAAGATGGGGTTTGTCTACAAAGCATGCTCGAACCGGAGACACCAAGGCACAGCACGTTCTTCCAAACCATTCTGCGTTCTGTGCCATCATTCTCGTGCTCCAAGGAAGGGAACGATTGCACTGGAGAGGGTGCCAAGGAGATTCACCAGGATGTTGCCTGGGACGGAATCTCTCAGCTATAAAGGAGAATCTGGATAGGTTGGGGTAGGAAAATCTGATTGACGTTTGTAAAATCAGGAGAGGTGTGGACGAGAGTAGATCATGAGAATCTCTTCCCCAAGGTGGGCTTGTCGAAGACCAGACACATAAGCTTGAGGAGGGGAGCAAGTTTTACAGGGGATCGGAGAAAAGATTCTTTCACGCAGAGGCTGGTGGGAATATGGAATGGGCTGCCTGACAGGGTGGAAGAGGCAGGCACTCTCTCGCAACACGCAAGCAGCATCTGGACAAACACTTAAAAATGGCAGGGCACAGTACGGTGTAGGGCAAATGCAGGTGAATGGGATGAGTGTAGCCTGGTGTTGTCCAGTATAGATACAGCAGGCTGAAGGGCTTCTCTTTATGCCGTATGACTGAATCTCAGAGTTGACAGACATCAGAGTAATTTTGTGAGGAGTTATAATGTGGGAGACACAGCAGCCGATTCACACACTACAAGCTTCTACTTCCAGCTCCAAAGGGAACGATCAGATCTGCTCTGGGTGTTTAGCAATGGGGACAATTTGACCAGGACCACTAGCAGAACCTCCTAGTGTTTGTTTTGCTGCTGGATCCCATCCATCTTCTTGGCCCAGCATCTCAGCAGCAGTCCAGTACTATTGGTGCCAGTCCAGATTCACCATTTTTTTTTTAATTACACTGGAAATGCTCATGAAAATGAGCAAGAGTTGATGTCATTTCAGTCTGATTCTGTAATGTTTTTGGGGGTCTCCAAAAACTGTCGAATTCAGCTCCAGTTCATATGCCCCCAGGTTGGGGGCCGGGAAGGGTGGGGGTGTGGTTTGGTCAAACCGCAGTGGAGGAAATGAGGCACCCATCCATGAAGGGCTGTCAGCCATTGCTTGTTAAACACAGCGTACACCACAAAAAAGGAGTAGGCTTTTCAGCCCTTCGAGCACCTTCACCCATTGAATACAATCATGGCTGATTGTCCAACTCAGTCTCCTGACCCCACTTCGTCTCCACACACTTTCGATCCCTTTATGCCCAGGAAGCATATCTAACTGGTTTGTGAAAACGTTCAATGTTTTGGCCTTGACCACTTTCTGTGATAGAGATTTCCACAGGCTCCCCACTCCCTGGGCGAAGACATTTCTCCCCATCTCAGCTAGACATGGCCTGCCCCATGCCCTGAGACTATTTCACGTGGCTCTGGGCTCCCCAGTCATCAGGAACATCCTTCCTGCATTTATTATGCAAGTAAAGGATCACAAAGCACTACTTTCATAAGCCACCACATACTCACTGGTATCCTAACCTCAACTGATGCTGCTTGTGAAAGGAAAAAAAAAAATGATGATCTGACCATTATCACAAGGCTGGGTGCAGGCACTTCCATGTGCAAACTGGCTGCACATTTGCTCTGCTATAATAGTGCCTACACTTCCTAATTGGTTGGTAATAGAGAATTACGTGATGTCTAAGGACGTGACACTATAGCAATGCAAGTCCTTTGTTGAGAAATTTCCCAGATCTCACTGCCAAAACACTGGTCCCACAAGAACAAAATCAAGGGAGGGACAGACTTGCCTTGGAAGCAAGTTAGAGAAGGGTTCACTCAGCTGATTCCTGGCATGAAGCTTGTATGTACAGGTTGAGCAGCGAGTGCCTACACTCAGGTGTAGATCAGATAAACGAGGGGATCTTAAACATACAAAAATCCTGAGGGGGCCAACACAGTGGGTGCTGAAAGGATGTTTCCTCTCAAGGAAATCTAGAACAAGAGGGCACAATTTTAAAGTGAAGAATATCCCTTTTAAGGAGGAGATGATGAAGAATTTCTTCTGATCGTCAGTCTGAGGGATTCTCTGGCCCAATAACGGCAGAAATAGGGTCAATGAATATATTCAAGATGGGGTTAGAGAGATTTTTGATAAACAAGGACATCAAGGTTTTGGGGATGTCAGACAGGAGAGTGGAGTTAAGGCCACAATCAAAATCAACCATGATCCTATTCAATGGCAGAGCAGACACAAGGGGACAAGTGGTCTAGCCCTGCTCCTAATTCTTACGCTACACTCTTATAAAAGCTACCATGAAGAAATTTGCTGTTAAAGTCAAATTTAAAAGTTGCAAAAGCAAGTTGAGAAATCACTCAAAAAGCAAGGTTTACCTGACAACTGACAAGTGCTGAGTTTAACTAAGTAGAAGCAAACGCTTTAGTGACACTATAGACTGGTACATTCTTGCGGCTCTACCTGTCTGGGTGATACTCCTCTGTTTTCAGGCACAAAAGTTCACATTTTCATTGCACTGAGCTGGATAATCAATCCTGAAGCGTTCCTGATGTTCGGCTAACTTACCTTGTTTGTACACTGCATTACTAATTCTGACAATGATGGTTGACTTACTTCAAAATCTGCATTGCTCCGTTTGCCACCTTGAAGATGCAGCGACCTCAAATGATACTAGCATCTCTCACCTCCTAATCTCAGGAAAATGACTGTTTTGGTCATATTTCCATACAAACACCAGAAACCTTTCAGTAAATTATGCACAGACTAGAACACTTAGAGCATTTGACATCAAAAGCACATCATACATGTTGAAACAAAGTGGTATCTATGAAAAGCCCAACTACCAACAGGTAAACTTTACTTTTGGAGACTCCTCCAACATAACATATACATAACACAATACAACAAGAGCTAAACATGAATAAAAACCAAAAGAACTGCAGATGCTGTAAATCAGAAACAAGCAAATTGCTGGAAATACTCAACAGGTTTGGCAGCATTTGAGGAGTGAAATCAGAGTTAACGTGTCAGGCCAAGTGACCATTCCTTGCGACTATCAGTTCTAAGGAAGGGTCACTCGATTTGAAACGTTAGCCCCGATTTCTCTCCACAGATGCTGCAAGACCTGTTGAGCATTTCCAGCAATTTATGTTTAAGATCTAAGTAAGCACAGCCACACTAGAGGAGCACAAACTGATACAGAAACAGGTAACAATGATAAACAACCCTGGCAGCTTACAGCAATTAAACACAAACCAAGCCAGCTAAGTCTTGCCAAATAGCTAATTGCACACGAAACTGCACCACCATTAATCTTCATTTTGGCAACTGAGAGAACCAGCTCACTGAAGCCTTCAGAGAACCCAGCAGAGTAACATGGCAGTGGCTCTATTTTGGTTTCCCGTCTGCCTCCCCCACTACCTCCCAACTAAACCCCTCCAACGCCCCCCCCAAATTGCATGCTCATCATAAAACATGGGATGAGGATCTCTCATCATCCTCCTCCTTCTGATATGCAACAGCAGAACCAGCCATACCTATCCCCTACCCCAGAGAGAGAGAGAGAAGCTCACAGCAACAAAATACCACATTGAAACAAACCAGACGATAAGGGCAGTGGTATCTAACCTCTGGCTCGGAAGTCTGTAGGCCGTGTGCGGTATTTTAGTTGATCTGAGGAGGAAGGGGAGGTGAGACACCATCAAACGTGGCCCGACTTCCCTGGAATGGGGGCGGAAGGGGGGGGGGGTGGTGGGGAAGAAGCCCGTCACTTCCGGCTGCTCCGCGACTACATTTACCGTCAGTCACCGCGCCAGCGCGCCGTAGCCCTAACCCGGTCCGCGCGTCACCTCCGGCTGCCTCCACCTGCCCCCACAATAAACTACATTTACCGTCAGGCACCGCGCCGTAGCCCTGACACGGTCCGCGCGTCACCTCCGGCTGCTACCACCACCTTCTCCCCTCCCCCCCCCACCCCAGACAAACTACATTTACCGTCAGGCACCTCACTACCCCACGGCCGGACCAAGCCGCCCGCGCAACGCTCGTCGATTCCGCGCAAGACAAAGGTAGTCGGAAGCGCTCAGGCTGCCGCGTTAAATAGTTACCGATCGAATAGGATCGAGCGGTTTTCTTTAAAAAAATGGCTGGCTGTCAAAAATAATAGCCGTCGTCGACGGTTGAGAGGGAAAACGAAACGCGGAGAAGGACGAGCGGAGCCCAATCAACGGATCCGTTCCGGCCCGGCGCTCTCTCTGATTGGTCCCGGTGGGGTGGGGGTGGGGCGCGCGGGAGACACCACGTGACATATCCTGACCCCGCCCACGCAGTCCACGCCCCCCACACTGACCGCGCCCCTTCGCACTGACGTCGCAGAGCCTCCCGCGCCCACACTAGCCCCGCCCCCTTTCCTTGGTGACGCCTTGTCTTAGCCCCGCCCCGTCGCCGCGGTGCGGCCTAATAAGAGAGGCTTACCGCGGTCACCTTGTATGTGTGTTAAATCTCTAACTGTGTAAAACCGCTCTACGATTTAAACCGCGTGTATTTTCCCATCTGGGGGACGGGGGTGCAGGGTGTATGTTTGCTTTCTCTTGGGGGGGG